GCTCTACCACTTGAGCCACAGCACCACTTCCGGCTTTTTTCTTTTTGCTTATGTGGTGCTAAGGAATCGAACCCAGGGCCTCAGGTATGCAAGGCAAGCGCTGTACCACTGAGCCACCTTCCAAGCCCTATTTGTTCATTTTTATCACCTGCCTCTACTGCATACTTTTCCTACCTGTTGTATTTCTTTTTTCTACTTTGGTTCTGTCCCTGTGGTAAAGGACAGTCAAATTGAACTTAACTTACAATGCCTACCCTGACCTTATAGGCAGGAGTTTCTGGATTATTTTATTGTACTATTTTATTTATTGTTTTGTTTTGTAAATGTAGTCTATATCTCGTGACATTTAAGTTCCTTAAAGGTAGAATTTCAGGACACCTACTAAGTCATTCTATATTGTGTGTTATGGTTTTTTGAGGCACATATTTCTGATTATGTGAATACTATTTATTTTTGTCTTTAGGTCTACCACTGCTTGTTCAGAGAACAATCGCAAGAACAATAGTATTACAAGAAAGTATTGGCAAAGGTCGATTTGGAGAAGTCTGGCGAGGAAAGTGGCGGGGAGAAGAAGTTGCTGTGAAGATATTCTCCTCTAGAGAAGAACGTTCATGGTTCCGTGAGGCAGAGATTTATCAGACTGTAATGTTACGCCATGAAAACATCCTGGGATTTATAGCAGCAGACAATAAAGGTCAGTAGCATTTGCTAACTCTTACAGAGGGTAACAAAGTCTAGTTAAGCCTTTTTTAAAGATCCAACTACTAAGTCTTATTATATTTGGTGAGAAATAGATTTAGATCCTAAAGATGATACCCATTTAGTCAAATATAAACTTTAGGAAACAGATTCTTCTTCAAAATTGTCTTGAGCTGGACACCCATGGTTCATCCCTATAATCCTAGCTACTCAGGAGGCTGAGATCTGAGGATCACAACTCAAAGCCAGCCTGGGTAGGACTCTTATCTCCAATAAACCACCAGAAAACCGGAAGTGGTGCTGTGGCTCAAGTGGTAGGATGCTAGCCTTGAGCTGAAGAGCTGAGGGACAGCGCCCAGGCCCAGAGTTCAGGCCCCAATGCCAAAAAATAAAAAAGCAAGATTGTCTTACCTCATGACTAAATGGTTCTAAATCTCATATTGGCTTAAAATATAGAACTATAATAGCCACATACTTGTGTTATTTTAGTTCTGGGCAGTTAGTTGAATATTATAAGGTAGAAAAATGTATAAACTGTGGTTGGTCAAAATTTGAAGTAGAGTAGGGCTTAGATATTTGTTTCTTTGTAATTTCTTCCAACCCAGTAGGGTATTTTAGTATAATAGTATAATAGACCAATGACCTTATTTGGGGGAAGGTAAAAATAATTTATCAATATATTCTATATTCTGAGATAGTAGGGGATAAATATTCATCTTTAAGTAAGCTCTGTTAAGAAGAAATGGTCCTTCTCCAGCTGCCTGTCTGTTGTTAATTAGGTGGACACACCTATATCACAGGTGCAAGGCCAAGCCAAGTGCGATGCTGAAGGAGCAAGAGGCTGCCTCAATAGTCAGTGTGATGGTGATTGCAGCAGTGACTTCAGACTCTGCTTCACCTGCTTCCTGGGCCTCAGTCAGTACTTGTCTCCACAGTTCCTACTTCTACCACACATCATTCTGTCAGACTCATGTTGCGACCCTCCCCTCAACATCCTCACCCTACATCAAGTGTATTTCTCAGATTTTCTATTACACAACCAAATGAAAACAACTAAGCCAGATGCTGGTGGCTCACTCTTATTATATAGCTACTCAGAAGATTGAGATTTTGAGGATCACACTTCAAAACTAGTCCAGGCAAGAAAGTCCATGAAACTTACTTTCAATTAGCTACCAAAAAAGCTGCAAGTGGAGCTGTGGCTCAAGTGATAGAGCACTAGCCTTAAGCAATACTCAGGCACAACACCTAGGTCCTGAGTTCAAGCTACTGGAGTAGCAACAAAATTAAAAAAAAAAAAAAAAGCAAATTCTTACCATTTTTTGTAGCTTGGCCAGACCTTTAGGCATCATTCCTTCTATCTCCTTCATTTCCTTTAGTGGTATTTATTTCTTCACAATATTAACTGTTTGATCTCAGATGGTGGGTATGGATTTTTTTCACTTCTGTATTTTCAAATTATTTACAATAAGCATCTTTTACTTGGTTAAAAAATATATAAATGTATATGCTTTATATACATATATTTGCTTTATATATATACTTATATGTATATTTACAGGAAATGTCCAATGTGTGGAAAAGTAGAGAATAGTATGCTGCTTCTTCACCAGCCAGCTTCAGTTATCAGCTCACTGTCAATCACTGGTCTCTGATCTATTTACATCTAACCAAATTGTTTGTAACCAATCCCAGATTACCTATCTTTTCATCTATAAACATTTTAGTTTTAGCTGGGTGCTGGTGGCTCATGCCTGTAATCCTAGCTACTCAGGAGGTTGAGATCTGAGGATCATGGGTCAAAGCCAGCTGGGGCAGGATAGTCTGTGAGACTCTTATCTACAGTTATCCACCAGAAAACCAGAAAGTGGTACTGTGGCTGAAGTGGTAGAGTGCTCACCTTGAGCTGAAGAGCTCAGGGACAGCCCCTAGGCCCAGAGTTCAAGCCCCATGACCAGAAAAAAAAAAGGCAAAACCCCCATATTTCAGCTCTTATCTTTAAGTGATAAAAGAGTATCTTTTATGAAACAACCACTCTAAATGATTTTCAAATATCCTGTCTGGTTTAGCTCTGCAGTTGTCTCTTTCCAAAAAGACAGGTTGTTTATTCAGATATAGTCCCAAGTTCACATATTGCATTTGGTTGATACTTCTCATACGGCTCTTAAAAATCGTTGGTTTCCCTCAACTGTTTTAGTGTTTGTTTTTTTAAATTTATTTGCTGAAGAAAGTAGATGGTGCTGTGGGCTCATAAAATTCTGTAATTTGCTAATTACAAAGACAATATGGAATGTCTCTTAGTCATCTGTATTTTCTTTAAAACCTGGCTTTAGAGGCTCAATCTAATTGAAGTTTAGTGGTTTTCCCTAAATACATACTAAGTATATTATATACTTGTTAGAGCACAAGAGACACATAATGTTTGATTATGACAATAGACAGTGATTGGCTGTAGGCAGCAATAATCAGTGGCTACTAATACTTCAATATTATTTAAGTTTTTAAAAAATAAACAAAAATGATCACACTTGGACCAGTTCCTTTGTTCTTATTTTGTTCTTCCTTTGAGCTACTTAATTCTTCCCTCAATCCTTCCATAATCCTTTCCCTCTTACTCTCTTTCCTCCTTTTTGTTTATTTTTGAAACAAGGTTTTGCTATGTAGTCCAGGCTGGCTTGAAACTCTTTGTATAGGCAAGACTGGCCTCAACTTGTGATCCTCCTGCCTCAGCCTCCCAAGGCCTGGGATTAATGGCTCATTTACCACACTCAGCTTATTCTTGTTACTTTTTTCAGCATCTTACTGATTTTATAAGAAGGCTAGAATTCTACAAATACTGATTGTTCTCTTAAAGGTTTTTCTATTCTGATTTCAACTTCTAAGTGACTTAGATCTGTATTTTGAAGCTTAAATCTCACGTAGTAGGGCATGTAGTAGGGTATGTTGCAAGTTGCAGACACATGGGCAAAGAAGCCAGAGCTGCTGTGTCTGAACTGATTCATTTGTTAAAAAGCAGCAACTAGCCAGGTGCTAGTGGCTCACACCTGTAATCCTAGCTACTCAGGAGGCTAAGATCTGAGGATCACAGTTCAAAGACAGCCTTAGCAGGGAAGTCATGACAATCTAGGCCCTGAGTTGAAGCTTCAGGACTGGCACCAAAAAAGGAAAAGAAGAAAAATGAAAAAAGGGCTGGGATGTAGCTCAGAGGCGAAGCGCTTGCCTAGCAAGTGCAATATCCTGGGTTGAATCCCCAATACCAAGAAGAAAAGACCAAAAAACAAACTAACAAAAACAAAAAGAAAAAGTAACCACGTAAATGGATGCTGCCATCTGGTGGTCACTGTATGAACTACCTAGCTAGCCCTACTTGGTTCTTCCCTGTTCCTTTTATCTTCTTTGTCAAGGCTTTAATGGACTTTACTCAGAACCTAGATCTTCCAACCCCAGGTCCCTTTTCCTTTATCTTTATCTTATTGACTTGGCTAATTGCATCTCATACAGCCCTGTCCATGCTTTGTCTCCCTGGTCAGTTGCTTCATGAAAAATCTTTTCTTCTACCTACCTATGTTCTTTTTCATTTCATGTTTGTGAGCCTTTCAAAATTCAGTCATGGAAGCTAGTCATGTACTTACAGAAAAAGATGGTTTGTATAGAGTCATAAGGGTTATGAAAAAAAAGTTAGTTCTTTGGAAAATAATGAGAAAACCCCCTTTAGAATCTGAAAAGTTCCATCTCTTTCCTTAATCTCTTCTACTCAGTGCTGTTGTTCTTGAAGTAACAACCTTCAAAATAAAAAAATCATGAATGTCAATTTTTTCTTCAGTTTTATAGCCAATAGGAGGGGAAGAAACACACTTTAAGCTCTTAATTGCCAACCATTGTACTACCTGAAATTTGAAAGTCTAGTACTGTGGTCTCTTTGAAATCTTAAGTAAAACAGAGTAAGATATGATGATTTTTTTTTTTTTTGCCAGTCTTGGGGCTTGAACTCAGGGCCTGGGCACTGTCCCTGGGCTGCTTTTGCTCAAGGCTAGCACTCTGTTTATGTGGTACTGAGGAATCCAATCCAGGGCTTCATGCATGCAAGGCCAGTACTCTACCACTAAGCCACATTCCCAACCCAAGATATGATTCTTGTATAAAGAAAAAACAGAGGCCTTAGCTAAGAAACTTGTCTGTGATCATGTAATTGATAACAGGTTGGCCCTGGATCCCAACCCAGGTCAGAATGAGTAAAGTATAGATCTTTTACTGAATTACTCTGTCTCTTAAAGTTGTAAGGCATTTTTTTTCTTTATAATTCTGTATTTTTCTAGTTCCTATCTTTTGTGGACTGGTCTAACCTAGGAGCCCATCTAGCATCTTTACCATTTCAAATTCATCTAACAGCTTGCAAAGGAACTTTAGAATTCATATTCATGGACCTTGGGTATAACTAGGTTCAGTCTGCTTATGTCATAGGCACTGCTTTGTTGTTGTTGTTTTTTAAACCAACTTCTTACTTGGTATCTTTGTGAACTATATCCATGGTCTTTGGCTAAAGATCATCACTATTAATGGAGGCTCATTGTCTTCTTGTCTACCCTTCTAACCCCATTGTGGTCAAGTAGGCTCCCTGATACTTCTCAGTTCCTTCCCTGTTGCTAGGGGTTTGGGGTTTTTTTTATTTCCTTTTACTTTTTTATTTTTAAAAACTGGAGTAGAACTCCTAATCTGGCCCCAATCTAGGCATTTAAAATTCCAGACTTGCTACTGTGTCAACTGACTACAATTCATTGGCTCCTTAATATTATTTATCCTTGTGTTATCTCAAGAATAAATGGATTACTCTGAGTATCTAAAGAATGTGTATGTAAAAGTATAGAACAAATGTCAATATATAACAGATTGTGAAGGAAATTCAAACTTAAGGGGGAATCAAGTTGTAGTAGTATGATATGGAGTTGAGAGTAATAGTGATTTGTGACTTTGAATATATAAGCCATAGTTTCTACAACTCAGCTGAAACATCATTATTGTTTTGCAGACAATGGTACATGGACTCAGCTCTGGTTGGTGTCAGATTATCATGAGCATGGCTCCCTATTTGATTACTTGAACAGATACACAGTAACTGTGGAAGGAATGATCAAACTTGCTTTGTCCACAGCAAGTGGTCTTGCCCATCTTCACATGGAGATTGTTGGTACCCAAGGTAACTCTTCAAATAGTTATTATTTAAACTTTAGATTATCATGAATCTAATGTGTATTAAATAGAAGTCAGCCTCAGTAGGGGTATTTAGATAGATTTTATTTTCTTGAAAACAACGTTTCTGTAGAAATATCTCAGTGTTAAAAGCCTGGGAATTTGTTTAGAGATTTTTTTTTTTTGTAGGCATTATAACAACATGGGTATTTTTGTGAATTCTTAAAAATGTAGCATTCAAGCTGGGTGCTGGTGGCTCATGCCTGTAAAGCTAGCTACTCAAGAGGCTGAGATCTGCCAGCTGGACAGAAAAGTCCATGAGACACTTAACCTCTGGTCCTGAGTTGAATCCCAGTATTGATGCATGCATGTGCATGCATGCATGTGCGTGCACACGTGCACATGTGCGCACGCACACACGCGTGCACACACACACACACACACACACACACACTTGGGATATCAGTCTGTAATTAGGTTTCTTGTAAAGAATTCATAAGACACCAATAAACCAATAACTCTTTTCATCTTCAGTTTTTTTCACTATAAGTCTTTGAGACTTATGTTCTTTGAGCATCATATTTTGGCCCATCATATCGTTTCCATTTTCTTTAAAGACAGAATTTCAGCAACTTTTGGTGTAGTGAGTCACTTGGTTGTTTAGTAAAAGTCTAAGTGTTGCAGTGATGTGGTAGAAAAGCTTTCATGACTGGAGGATGACTTTTGAGCCTAAAGGGGATGGTTGTGACTGATAATTCTTCTTAATAAATCATGTTTAATTTTTGGTTCTTTAGGAAAACCAGCCATTGCTCATAGAGATTTGAAATCAAAGAATATCTTGGTGAAGAAGAATGGAACTTGCTGTATTGCAGACTTAGGACTGGCAGTAAGGCATGATTCAGCTACTGATACAATTGATATAGCTCCAAACCACAGAGTAGGAACAAAAAGGTACACTTGTGAATAAGTGGTATTTAATGATTCTTGAAATCAGTTTCTTTTCCTTCTTCTAATTAGTATGTGTGTGTCTTTTCTGAAATTCAAACTTGGTACTTTATTGGACTGGCCATAGGAATATAGTGTCATGGTCTTTTCTGTTCTGAAGCCAAGATTACCTGACTAGTAAGGTGTCTGATAATAAAAGACAGCACTTCCAGAAAATATTTTCATTAATTAGATTAGTTGTAATAGTAACTGATTTTTGTAGGTTATTGTCTATTCACCACCATCTTAGTAGGTTTCGTGTGTGTGTGTGTGTGTGTGTGTGTGTGCTCACTCGTATGCATGCACGCATGTGCCTATCCTTATTTAATGCCTTCCTCAAATGCTGTATTGTAGCTAGTCCAACTGTTTGTATATATTAGCTTACCTGTCTTCCTTAGAATTTGTATGTGTTGTGTCCTTTGCTTTTTTTTTTTTTAACTTACATCCTTCTTTTCTTATAGAAAGTCTTTTCTGAACCTCACTCTTGAAAAGTTTTTTTTCTGATGTCAGTCCAGGAAGGGCTATCATAGCACAGTGAACCTACACCATTGAGGCATTTTCCATATTATGCTGTAACTGTCCATTTATGTATGTGTCTTGTATGTTCTGTTGGATTGCAAACTGCTTGTTTGCAGCCTTGTAGTGCAAGTATCCATCACAGTGCCTACCTGGCATGTGGGAATCTTTTCAAGAGAACCTATTGAGGTAACCCTACCATTAATTCACAGATGAGGAAACTACCTTGTAGAAGTTAAGAATATGAACAATTCATATGGATGGTAACCTGAAGAGCTCAGATTTCTGACCCCAAAGCCTTTGTTTTTACCAAGCAGAACATTTCTTCAAAACTACTGCTTAGACCTTGAACAATGCCAGCAGCTTTAGCCTGTCTAAAATGTACTTAGATTTCCAGATGCAGTGAGTATTCAGAACTCTCCATTGGCTTAAGAGATCCTCAACAGAGGTAGCTGCAAGTCTTCATGCAAGTCTTATAGGTCTTGACCTATAACCTTTGTAGGGTCTTTGAAACTTTATAACCTTGTAATGTAGTTTCAGCGTGAAAGCTTGCACACATTTTTATCTGTTTGTTCCCTGAAGTCTCTGCCATTCTTTAAATCCTGCTTTAGTTTAATTATTGTTACAAATTAAAATACATAGTCCTAGCATACGTAGTACATGAAGCTGGTATTCATGTGGTTATATTTAGTTATAATTGTTGTATATGTGTCTTCATAAGCCAAAATCAGATTTCAGGTAGTTTGAGAACTCAGGGTGAAACTATCCTTAAGGTTAAAACTGCTGTTTCAGCATTTCTTGGGATTTAATAGATGTCATTTATTTACAAACTGGCCTGGGTTTTCAGATATTTTTCTTGAGTCTGGTATGATCTCATTTTTGTAAATTGTGTGTACGTATATGTATAGAGAAATGTTGGAAAGGATGTTCATTCAAATGTTAATACTGGAGGTAAAAGGATATTTTACTTTGTACTTTATGTATTTAGGAAAGTTTTTTAAAAAATTGGAATGTGAACTATTTTTTTAAAGTTAATAATCATCTTGTACCCCTAAGAAATTTTTTTTAAAAGTTAAAAAATAATATGGCTGCTATTGAACAAAGTAGAATTTTGTCTTCTTTTTAGGTACATGGCTCCTGAAGTTCTAGATGATTCCATAAATATGAAACATTTTGAATCCTTCAAACGTGCAGACATCTATGCAATGGGCTTAGTATTCTGGGAAATTGCACGACGATGTTCCATTGGTGGTAAATGGCTCTTCTTTTTCCTTACAGTCCATTATGAGCAGAAGTTGTTCAAGAATTGACTTCATTTTATTGAATGAAATTCTACAGTTAACAGTCTGACAGGTGATCACTGAGAGTGCCAGAAGAAAAATGATGCTAAAACATGGAGTAAAGGAAATGACAAGCCATGCCAGTGCATAGCTGTATCCTAGTATTGACTTTGTTTCCATTTGACTCTCAGGCAGCATCAGAACTCAGTCTTTCATTATCTTGGACTGTGGTTATTAGAATGAATGGCTGCTTGTGAAGTCATGCAGAACTGGACCTTGTCAAACTTTTTTTCCCTTGAGATTGTGGTTATTTCCACCAGCTTGAGTAATATAGTAGTAATGCAGTTACCACTACATTAGATTAGGTTTCATTTTAGATGAGAGCATTTATCAGTGTTTACTGAAGAAACAATATCTTACCAGGTGCAGGTGGCTTACACTATATTTCTAGCTATTCAGGAGGCTTAGATCTGAGGGTTGTGGTTCAAAGCCAGCTGAGGCAGGAAAGTCTGTGAGACTCTTCTCTCCAGTTAACACCAAAAAAAGTTGTAAGTGGTGCTGTGGCTTAAGTGATGGAGTGTGGCCTTGAACACTCCAGGCTCTGGGTTCAAGCCCAGAACTGGCACACAAATTAAAAAAAAATATCTTAGGCTTTGAGATCTCCAGCCTTGGCTGAAACCTAGGACTGACCCAAGGCATTGAGGGACAGAGTATGGGAATTGTAGCAAATAGACATAGTATTGAGGGATACAAGTAGAAGGGACTTTGATTTCAGAGTTCCCTTACAGAGTTCATATTTCATTGATAAAGACTGTATATTCCAGTACCCAGAAAGAGGCTTGTACAATCATTGAACAAAACCTTATTTGCTCTCAAATAGGGTTTTAGGGGAAAATGTCAACCTGATCAGTATAGCTCATAGTTAGCCCTCATTATAAATAACTTTTGTCAATCTCATGGCTATGCTTAATTTCAAGGTGTGGGCCAAATGGTATCTTAGTTGTGGCTGATACAGATAAGTGCTTTGTTCTAATATCTGATTTAGTAATGGGTCATTGTAACAGTCCTCTTAGGTGATACTTGTAATTGTGTGTCATTGGCTGAAATAGATTTTTTTGTAACCACTGTAGGAATTCATGAAGATTACCAACTGCCTTATTATGATCTTGTACCTTCTGATCCATCGGTTGAAGAAATGAGAAAAGTAGTTTGTGAACAGAAGTTAAGGCCAAATATTCCTAACAGATGGCAAAGCTGTGAAGTGAGTATTTCTCCTTGACACGAATCCATTTTCTAAATTGCTTGTGTTTAGTATGAAGAAATTTTGTTTCTTAAGGAAAACAGACTAGAATTAGAATTTAATTTTCTTTCTTTTTCAAAGCATTTAAACCAATGAATTAAAGTAGTATGCTTTTCATGTTCAACTTTAAGTACATTAAAAGGATCAGAGAGTATTTGTAATGGCCATTGGCAGATCTCAACATTATTAGATCTGCCAGATGAAATAAGACTACTTTTAGGTGAATATCTCCCTCCCAAGAGTGCAACCTAAAGTTACTGGACAGATACTCCGTAGGAATTAGGAGACCTGTATTCTAAATTGTCTGGCTTCTATTTCACAGTGGAACTTTGGACAGATCACTTTACTTCTCTGAACTCAATATCCCTTTGTAAGATGAAGAACTTGTCTAAGATGATTATGAAGCAGTTGCCATTGATTTTGGGTTCTTATTTATCTGATGCCCCAGTAACTGTTAACCAAGAGTTTGGGGAAAATGCTTTCCAACAGTGTCAACACCTTCTCATTCCTAGCTTTTACAAAAAGTTTTGAAAAACTGTGGCAGTTGTTGTAGTGATGTAGCTTTTAGATCTGACATTTTGTAGCTTAGGAGTAAAAAGGTGGTCATGTAAGTAATTGGTTCTATATCTTAAAATAATGTAGGACTCCAGGGAAACTGTATCATACAAAGTATGTTACCTCCATAAATAATTAAGTATTCAGGCAGGCACAGAAGAGAAACAGGTCATCATTGTTAGAGAATTTGTATGTAACGTCATTTGATAAATGATAATATCTGAACATTTTTTTTTTTGGTCGGTCGTGGGGCTTGAACTCTGAGCCTGGGCGTTGTCCCTCAGCTCTTCAGCTCAAGGTGCGCGCTCTACCACTTGAGCTACAGCGCCACTTCTGGTTTTCTGATGGTTTATTGGAGATAGGAGTCTCATGGTCTCTCCTGCCCGGGCTGGCTTTGAACTGCGATCCTCAGATCTCAGCCTCCTGAGTAGCTAGGATTACAGGCGTGAGCCACCAGCGCCTGGCTTTGAACATTTTTTCTATGAAAAGTTTTAAGTTCATAGCAAAATTTAAGGCACACGGGTTACCCATATGTCTCACCCCCACACATGTATTACCCTTTATCTTCCAGATAGTCCATTGGTCACAAATGATGAGCCTATTTTGATATATCACAATCACTTGCACTGCATTGGGGTTCACTGTTATTATTGTGTATTCTATTACTTTGGACAAGTGATAACTGTATAATTATCATTTTATGTAGCAGCAAACAGAAAATTTTCATGGTTCTAAAACCTCACTAAGTTTTTATAGGTTCAAGTCACCACATAAGCTTCATCTTTCTGCTTTCTGTTTTTTCATTTGTGCATGCTTCTATATTGATCTTTTGGGGGAACCAGTCTCTTGGCTCCTTCCTCTTCAGCTACTCACATTTCCAAAGGACATTCTTTTGTTTTTTGGTTAGTCACAGAGTTGCAGTTAATTTCTCAGCAGGAGCAGATTCATTCTTTGTCTTGTCAGCACTGGTTTAAGGTTCAACTTTTTTTAACCTTTTGAGTCTACTAAGTAAGTTTCCCTTGACTATCTAACAGCTGGCACTCCTACCATTTCACATGGAAACGGAAGTCATTTCCATTCATTTGCTACTAGAAGTAACACTAAAACAAAATCATGTGTGTATATGATTTTAAAAGAAAATTTACAGGTAGGGATTCTAACCCAGATGAATGGTTTGTGCATTAATTAGTAATATGCATTAATTATTTTTCTTACATTTCTTGTAGGCCTTGAGAGTGATGGCTAAAATTATGAGAGAATGTTGGTATGCCAATGGAGCAGCAAGGCTGACTGCTTTGCGGATTAAGAAAACTTTGTCACAACTCAGTCAACAGGAAGGCATCAAAATGTAATTCTGCAGCTTTGCTGGAACTCTACTTTTTCCCAGATCTTCTCCTGGGTTTTCATTTGGGAGGTCAGTTGTTCTACCTCACTGAGAGAGAACAGAAGATATTGCTTCCGTTTGCAGCAGTGTAATAAGGTCAATTGAAAACTTCCCAGGATTTCTCTGGACCCAGGAACAGCCATGTGGGTCTTTTCTGTGCACTATTCAAAGCTTCTTTCCCAGGAAAGTTTCAAAATATTGTGTAGTCTACCTTTAGTTTTTATTAACAAAACTTTTTTTTTAAAAAAGATGATGCTGGTCTTAACTTTGGGTAACTCTACTTTGTTGAAGATCAACTTTGAGGGAAAAGGAGCTGGATTGTTGAGTTACGTAAAACATTTATTTTTCAAGAAAATGATTTACTCCTGGTTAGTACATTCTCAGAGGATTCTGAACCACTAAAGAGTTTCCTTCAGACTTTGAATGTAGTCTTCTATAGTTTTTCAGGATCTTAAAACTAACACTTATAAAACTTGTATTTTGAGTCTAAAAATGACCTCATATAGAGGTGAGGAACATAATTTATGCAATTGTATTTTGTATACTATTATTGTTCTTTCACATATTCAGAACACTACATGCCTTCAAAATGGGATTGTACTATACCAGTAAGTGCCACTTCTCTGTCTTTCTAATGGAAATGAGTAGAACTTAAAGTCTCTGTGTTAAATCCTTTAGTGTTTGAATTCAAGAAGTTATTTATGGGGTAACACAAACTTTTTGTTGTTGTTTTTAGAAGGGTTTTGTGGTATGTTGTCAGTATTCCATTTTGAAAATGCCTTTTTCCTACCGAAATGTGCTTGAAACACTAAAGAAATGCAGTGGCATTAATAAGTAAATGGTTATCATGGTCATGTTGGAATATTCTCACATTGAGCTTTTTAGTTTGGTTGTATTATCTGAGTAACTTCAAAAAGTCAAGTGGCACTCTAGATGCTTACAGTGCTCTAATAATTGTTCCTTTATAGCAAACAGACTGTTATCTATATGGAGAAGTTTTGTCTAGCTGCTTGTGAAAAGTTGTGTGGTATTCTATAAAGCCATTTTTTTCTTTATCTCATCAAAGACAGTGTTATTTTTTTTAAGAAAGTAATTACACTGAAGATTAGGATGTGGGTAATGTTAAATACTAGGCTTTTTTCTAGGCAGGCAGTGATAGATTGAATAGATGTGTTTGGTGGTCGCATAGTCACACTTTTTACTTAGTGTGTTTGGTGGATTCTCTGTGAGGTTAGAAAAGAGTAAGCTTCACTTTGAGAAAGGCAGCTGTTAATTCAGTCTTTACTTATCTCATGCAGATGTTGCAACTGATTGATCTACATGGTTACGTAATAAATTCAGTGCTCCTCTAATAATAGGAGAGGTAGTAGCTAAAGGACATTCTGAGTAGAGGTTTTACACTTAAGGATATTTTTTAATTAAAAATACATGTTCAAAGTAAACTTGTCATGGTTTTTTCATGTGAAGTTGAAATTAGCTTGTTAGTGACTGTTTTTTTACTTCCAGTTCTGTAAGTGTTTTCAGGGCTTTTACAGTTTTCGAAGGCTTTTTTTTTTTTTTTTTTTTTTTAACACTGTGATCTCATTCAGAAGGGGAGAACTGGCTGTGAGACCAGGCTTTGATTTCTGTGTTGTCAGTTCCCCATAAAGGGGTCAGAAGAACCTTTTACTGTATTTGGGTCAGGAAGAGATTGTGAATGCCTGAATAAGGTACATTCTGATAATGTCTTATCTGTTACACATAGAATAAATTTGGAAGACTATTTGGTCTTAAAACCAAAGCAGTTTTTGAATGAATGACTTATAGGAATTTAGTGTCAGGAACATAATGGGGAAAATTTGCTTAGAAGTCAGTATTTTGACTACAAATTAGAGTTTTCTCTGTCGTTACCATGATTTCATTGGAGTAAATAAGTTTGAGAAGTTTGTTTTTCATAGTTGTTTTATACTTACCTGCTTAATAAGCTCTAGTTCTATGATCAGGTACTGTTTTGGGGTATTTTGTTTGCTATTTCTAAGCCTTTAAGACCTGCTTTATGAAGCCCAGGGGACCAATGCATTTTATCACTAAAACTATTTTTGTATAATTTTAAGAACATGCCAAAAGTTGTCTGATTTAAAGTTGTAATACATGATTTCTCACTTTCATATGGGGTAATTAATGTTTGCTAAAGATATTCCTTATAACATCAAAGATTGAGTTACAATTACACTGTTCTTGCCTTTGTGGATAAATGTACTTTTGATATATCAGGGATTTTTTTTTTAAGTTGGAATTTAGTTCTAAATTGAGTTTACATGTTACTATGCTAATTTCCTTTTTGGGGGTAAGGATAGCTTGATGAATCTCAATTGACTAAAATTGAAAATAAAATTAACTTAAAAAATGTCATAGAACATTTACTGTGGCCATAATAGAAAATAAATTTGACTTGAATAATACTTCAGTCCCACAAAAACAAAATTCTTGTTTATACTGCCTATCTAAAGATGCTTAATTTCTAAGATTTAACATGACTAAAATGTATCTTCTGGCAAATTAACCTACTTATGTACTCTTGCCAATACTCCAGAGTAGTGACAGAGAAAGAAGTGTGACTTACTGGAGTATAGATATCCCTGGTTCTTCCTTCATATTTTCAGCTCTGTTTCTCCCAGTCTACCTTTCTGCTTGCCCCTGAGAGACCCTTTTCCAACCTCAGCCTTTTGACCAAAGGGTTGCTTTTGAGTCTTAAGGGTAAAATGGTTGATGGAAATTGTGGGACATACTTTCATTACCTTGAGTTGTTGGATGTGGTAGGTAGTAGTCTCTGGGTCTGGACAGTAAATGAAAGAGGCCTGGGGATGCTCCTGCCAATTGCTTTGCTTTGACTCTTTGCCATGGATAAGAAATAGGATGACTGCAAGGTAGCAGCTGTGGCAATGGAAGTTGTGACAGAAGCAAAGGCCTGTTGTAGTCCCTTGAAGGACCACAGAGTGTGAAGAGCTGAGCTTGCAATTCTGCTGTAATGATAGTGCTCAAGAAGTGCCTTGAGTTAATAAACAGTGCCCCGGCCACCAAGAATTCCAGATTTCAGTTCTCACTGCAAAGTGTAAGTCGTCACCTAACCACAGTGCACACATGTGTGAGCACTTTTTTTTCTCTGAGAACTGTCATATATTGACTGTTTTGTAAAATAAAGTACTAATAAGCATGCACAACAAAATCAGTATCCCTCTAGACATATCAAAAGTTTATTTTCCATGCACTAAAGTAATGATTGTAAGTCAGTTGTTTCTTTTGTTTCATGATTGTGGCAGTGTTTTGACTACAAGGCATGGGGATTCCAAGTGCTGGTTCTTTCATAAGTCTGTAGAAAATACTCAAATATTTAGAGATTCTGAAGAATATTTCTAGATGTGTACTGCAGCTTAGTAAGTCTGGTTTGGATGCTGGAGTACCAAGAGCCCTCTTTCTAGGAATGCTGTGAGGATTATCATTATGATATTTTTAGTCTTGTTACATAATCTTATTTGTAAACGTAAACTTAAAAAATATGGTTAATAACATTGAACCTGTTTCTTAACACTTAAAAAACTTCAGTGAATTTGTTTTTTTTTTTTGATAAGATTTGTGAATTGAGTATCACGCACCATGTTTTGATACCCCCTTTTCACGTTGTGCCAATGGAATGGGGTATTTAATATTTCTTTATATGTCAAGGAGATGCTTCAAAATGTCAATTGCTTTAAACTTAAATTACCTCTAAGAGACCAAGGTACATTTACCTCATTGTGTATATAATGTTTAATATTTGTCAGAGCATTCTCCAGGTTTGCAGTTTTATTTCTATAAAGTATGAGTGTTATTTTGCAAAATTACTGAACGGTACTGTATTGTTTATATTTGTACCCCAAATAACATCATCTAGACTGTTTTTTATTGTACTTGTGCAAATTTTTTTGAATTTTGTCAGTGTAAGCTTTGCCCTTTAAGGTATGTACAGAACATGTCCATATAAATTTTCATTTAAGTTGAATGATTTTCAGATGCCTGTAAAAGAGGAGAGAACATAAATTGCATTTCCCCATAAGTCTTTAAAAACTATATATTGTATTTGTAGTAATATTCCATATGATTGTAAATAGGAGATAGAAGAGTGATGCTTATGTAAGTTCTTAACACTACAGTAGAAAAATGGAAACAATGCAAATAAATTCCTCTTTCCCAAATGCCAATGGCTGCATTCTTTTCTGGAGGCTGGGTATGAATAAGCTTCCAGCTCATTCAGGCTATTGTCAGAATTCATTCCATTCTATTCCATGGGATTGTAGGACTGAAGTCTCCATTGCTCTGCTGATGTTTGGCCAAACATCAATCTTAATTGCCTCAAGACCCTCTCTTCTATCATTAACACCACTCACAAAAGGTGAGTCCTTTGTATACTTCCTTTCTCTGATCACCCTTCTGCCTCAACCCTCCTCTAGTTATTCCACTGCCTCTAAATCCTCTGCTTTTAAGAGTTCATCTTATTTTACTGGGCCCATTTAGAAAAATGCAGGATAACCTCCCTAGTTAGTAGCTTCTATTGAATATGCAAAGTCCTTTTACAGCAGTACCAAGATTTGTGCTGGATTAAATAATTAGAAGATGGGAATCTTTGAGATAGATATATTTACCTGCTATAATAAATAGGTTTAGTTTTCCTTCTTGAAGTGGCATTAAATTATATAAAACTAATTATAACACTATTGTGAGGTATATATCAGAGGTGCAGTGTAGAACTAAAGTGATATTAGAACAAAGCTATTTTTATTGGAATTACATTAGCCTTAATCTAGAGAAGACTAGGATAATTTGAGACACATATTATTGCAGCAACCACTGAAACATACTAAAAAAAATGAATTGGAATGGCAGCATACTAAAAATAGGAAACATAAAAGGCAGAAAGATGTATTTCTGTGTCTGATAGATCTCCCCAAATCCTGGTTATTTCTTAAACCCTCTAGACTTTCTAGAAAAACTGGTGAGTGCCAGCCCACAAACTGACATAGTACCAGAAGACAAGCATTCTCTGTATGCCCAAGGAAACCAAAATAAGGACAGGAAGCAGATGGACTGTGGGTGGGCAGACCAAGCAGTTTCTGGAAAAGGGTTACAATTACAAAGAGGATTGTGCTGAGGCTTGAATGTGTTGACCCATTTGCAGATCTAAGACAATACTGGCTATTAAGATGTGCAAGCATTTTTAAATTGCAAGAAGATAAGAAGAGAAAAGGCTAAGCTATCTGTTCTCAAGTTTATATTTGTTTTAAAGACAAAAGTCATGAGGTCAAAGTCACTTCAAAGACGATGAACCAGAGAAGCAGAAATACATTAGATATGAAATGAACTGAACACTCAAAGGCTAGAATTGATCAAGATCATTAAAATAAAAAATAATATCAACTATCTGGGATCCGCAGAGGCACACTTTAGCTTCAGAAGCCAGTCTGGGAAGAAAAAGCACAGAAAACTCAATCTCCAGCTTATTAACCAGCAGAAGGCAGAAAGCAGAGCTGTTGCTCAAGTGGCAGAGTGACAACTAAGTGAAAAAATAATGGATGGTGCTCAGTCCTTGAGTTCAAGCCCCAGTACATACACATAAACATGACACTGCTGTTGGCTAATTTGTCCTGATATAACTCCCATCAGAACAATACATTTTTCCCCCATGTGTGCATAAAGCATTGGCATGAAAGACCATATGCTGTGCCATAAAACAAGTTGGAAGGAATTTTTTTTTTATATTGTTAGGTTTTTAAAAAGAGGTAGAGCTGAGTAAGAACTGCACCAGCACGCACGTGGTATTCAGGTAAGGGGTAGGTTTATTCAGTAGACCTGATGGGACCAGGCAAGGTTGGCACTCCACGTGGCTGGGAAAGGCCTGGGAATGAGAGAGAGCTGGGAAAGAGAGGAAAGAGCTAGAAAAGAGCAGAGAGAGGGGTAGGAACAGTAGCACGCACGTGGTATTCAGGTAAGGGGTAGGTTTATTCAGTAGACCTGCTGGGACTAGGCAAGGTTGGCACTCCACGTGGCTGGAAAAAGAGAGGAAAGAGAGAAAAGAGCTAGAAAAGAGCAGAGAGAGGGGTAAGACAGTAGCACTCACGTGGTATTCAGGTAAGGGGTAGGTTTATTCAGTAGACCTGCTGGGACCAGGCAAGGTTGGCACTCCACGTGGCTGGGAAAGAGAGGAAGGAAAGAGCTAGAGCAGAGAGAGAGCAGAGAGAGCTAGAAAAGAAGAGCAAGAGCAAGAGCTGGAAGGAATTTTAAAAGGACTGATATAATAGAAAATAAATTGAAACTAAGAAGTGGTCAACACATTTTGCAGGTCTTGAAATATACAAACACTTTTAAATAACCAATGTAGAAATTTCAATGTATAATGAAGATAATTTCCACTGAATGATAATGAAATGCAGCTAGAGTAGTGATTTAATGAAAATTTTGTAGTTTTTAAAATGAATACCTTAAGAAGATAATGAAGATAATAAATATAAATGCAAAAATCTTTAAGAAAAACACAGTGTTAACAATCCAACAACAAATAAGGAAGTTTATATACTAAGATCAAATGAGGTGTGTCCTATCACTGCCAGCCCCATTTAATATCCAAAAATCTGGATTATTCATTATGGATTCCATATCCAAAGGCACATGGTACCACAAAGACCACTAGGTGTATCAAGTTAGTGCAGTGCTGTTCTGTAGTGCTTGATATAATTTACCCAGAATGCCCACTCAACTTCCACTAACGACAAGCTATTCTAAAACAAATTTAAAACTTCACGCAACACTACTGGCCCTTTTTGGGTTAGGAGGGTTTCTATAACTCTTATTTTTCTCTTGGGACACCATTTGTTTTGGAAGAGTCATATTTTTACAAAAAGAGGTGGAAATGCTTATCAGATCACATGATGGATCTAAACACAGCTGATGAGAATGTAGTATTGAGTTTCCCATCAACTGAACTGCATATCTTGTGTACAGGAGCCCTAAATTTTATTCTGTTTTTGAGATTTTGAAATTCCTTTTTCTTTTTTACTGTGTTTGGTCAAATCTACATATAATCTACAAATAAGGAAGGGTTAATGTTTCAAATTATGAGAAGAAATGATAGAGCACATGATTGACTAAATAGAGAGCGTTTGATAGGATATAACATCCATCTACAAATAGGATGAGTATTACTGGACAAATTTGATGTAGAATTCTCAGTCTAATGAAAACCATCAGTGAGAAGCCCACAGCTAATGTATTTAATGGTGAAGAGAATGATTTTCTACTTAAATCAGGAACAAGGAAAGATTGTCTACTTCAGAGAAAAATAATGTGCAAAGCCCTCACTCCTCCCCTCCAAAAACTAAAATGCATTCAGATTAGAAAAAAAAAAAGTTAAAAGTATCATCAGAAGTAACAATCTTGTGTGATCCTAATGAAAATTGAAATTATACTAGCAGTGACAATTCCCCAGGAATTAAAAAGAAAACTCGCATAACAGAATTAAGAAATTTACTAATTTATTTCTCTAGAAAATAATGAGTAGAGACTGCCCATATTGGTTAGAGGTTTCTACTAGTACACAGACTTCTCAAAGTGGATTACAAGTGCAACTATACCCTGGACGACGTGTTCCAGCGGAACTGGAATCCGTAGATATCCGCCACTGATGCCCAGCTAGGAGCTTAAAAACAAAAATAAAAACAAAACAACCTTGACAAGATTCTAAAACACACTGAAATAAGAAGAATCCAAAATAGTCAAAATACTTTGAAAATAAAGGTGGAGTAATTTCCTAATCCAATGTAAGGCTGCATTCATCGAAGCAGTTTGTTGGCATACAGACAGGCATTTAGAAGAGAACCCTTACATGCATGTCCAGTCAACCTGTATGCCAACGCAGAGGAGAAAAGGAAGTGTTTTCAGTAAATGGTGTCCATGACAATAGGATGCCCATGGTTAAAAAGGAGGAAAAAAGGCAGTGAGGAAGGTAGAGCTCATTCTAGACCTAACAGCATCAAAGCAGTACAATTGCTAGTATAAAACAGATAAATCTTGATGACCTCGACTTAGACAATATGGCTTTAAAGAAAAAAATTAATAAATGGATTATGATTGCCAACAGTAAAATCATTTGGGCTTTAAAATACTTAAGAGCAAAGAGAAAACAGCAACTAAAAGGAGGTATTTTGAAATGAACTGGTAAAAGATTGGTGCTCAGAGTATACGAAGAAGTTACAGATCAGAAGGACAAGCAAGCAATCCAGTTTTAAAAATGGCCATGAGATGTTTTCAGACTGTCCCCGGGAAGGTACAGGAATGTCTAATGAGAACAATTCTTTCTTAGTATTTCCAAATCATTTGACCCACTAACTTCATTTATATTCCCCTGTGGACCCCCATAGGGATTTAATATTTTTACTCTCCTTACTCCTTGAAGGAAGCAAGTTGTTTTCACACATTCCCTTCCCAAATACCTAACCCCAGAATGAACAAAACAGTGTTGGTGGTTAGTTGGCCACCATCTCTGCTAGGCAGTTGGAACTTATTTTCTTAGGGAACCTGGCAAGGCCTATTTGGGGGTACTCTAGGGCTTCTCAGAAGGGTTCCCCAACACACTTTGTTATTGATGCTACATCTTTTCATACACACACTCCCCTCTAAGTCACTGTTGCTATGATAGTATTGCATTCTGTGGATCTGAGGCTGCCTGTTGTAGCTGGATGTGAAAAATCCCCCAAGTAACATTTTTGACTTATTTCTGTGACTCTCCTGCCTAGGGCCCAGGACTTAATCTCAGGACAGGCCTGGAGAAAAGCTTACTGATTGAACAGGCACCGGGTTACAGGAGTCCTACCAGAGTAAGTACGATGTGACCCAGCAGCTACGGAGGTGGCTATTTACAGGGGCAGTCTTCCACCCTGGGGACCCCCAAAGGCAGGAACCCCAGCTTTCATGCAAGGCTTTTTGTGAGTTTAGTTGGTAGGTTTAGTTTTGGTGTCTTTCCATCCTGACCTACCAATCTTTCACCTTCCCTTGCTAGTATATTTTATTCATCATTTACTTCCATTGTCCTTTTACTGATTTGCATTTTTCTCATGTGATGTTACTTTTTAAAACATGGTCTCTTGGGGGCTGGGAAGGTGGCTCAGTGGTAGAGTGCTTGCCTTGCATGCCTGAGGCCCTGGGC